TGAAGAAACACTTCTGTAGGTAGAGAAGTCAGTAACTCCAAATGGACCGCTCTATAAACGGCGCATGTAAAAACACAAATCCATGCCTTTTCTTTGTTTCTCAGCAATAAAGGACCACAAAGGTCTATACCCGTTACTTGAAATACTGCTGAATCATTTACTTGCTCTATTGGCGGTGGGGCTAATATGTGGTCAACAGGTACAGCAGAATATCTCTTGCAAGTAATGCATTTACTCAAAACAGAACGACTCGAAAATGACGGAAATGCTTCAAGCCATCTTCACCCTTTATCCAAAGAAATCGGAGGAAGTTTCTGTCACTAGAATTCAGGCCAATTTGTAGAAAGGCCTTACGAATATCAGAAATCCCCCCTATTTTTTCTTGGCGAAATCTATTTAAGATTGTAGGAATAAATACAATAAGGTTTAATCCTATTCCAAGACAATCGTTGAGACTCGGAGAACCCTTTGCTTTAGACGAAGCGTCAAATACTGGCCGTAACTTCGTAGTACTATGTTCCTTAACAACATGTCTATGTGGCAAATAAAGATGGGGTAAATCCAATTTCATTTACGGGTACTTCCTCTATTATGCCCTCTTTGAGCCATTCTTGGAATACATTTTCATACTCTTGGCAAAGATTATCTAGTTCCAAGTTGCCTAATCGTACCGTGCAACCTTTTAAGCGATAACCTCAAAATTATCCTGACAGGGGAGGGTGTGCCCTTCAACCAAGGCAAAGACACTACAAAGCGGTTATCTTCTATTTTTACAGTATATCAAGAAACATGTTGCCTGGTAGCCTCATACAATTCCAATTTACTCTTTTTTTCGGATGGGTCCATAATACCAAGCAAGTCGAGGGCCCATAAACTCAGAAATACAAGCCATCTTTATTCAACATTGAAGTGACTAAGAATGTTGAACCTTTCACTATTCAACTCCCCGGTTTTTCCCATAACCGTCCATCCTAACTTTGTCTCAATAGCCTACAAGACCGTTTGAAATTTGTTTACGATTTCCCCGTTAATAATCGTCCTGCAACATTGGCTCCTATTAAAATTTCTATAGGTCCTTCTAAACGATCTGTTAAACTTATTCCACAGTTCAGCAAGCTCTTTAAGCCATATTTCCTTGTCCAATAGAAGGTATATTATTACAAATAACAGGCTGACTTAACGTATCAAAATTGCAGCTGTATGAGTCAGACGTATTAGATAAATTGAATTTTGTAAACTTTATATTCACACAAACTGGTCGTTGTACCGCCAAATAATACATGGACTAAGGTATTCCTTTACTGTATACCTATAACCCATATTCTTGAGCTGTGCTTTGCAGAATATACATGACCTTTGCAAACCAGTATCAATATAGCTCGAGCACGAGCCGAACAAGATTTTTTATCTCCTTTAATTAATTATTACTCTTATTGTTTGCAGCAAAACTTTAGGAGACCTTGAAGAAATGTTGGCGAGTGTTTCAGCCTGATTTGGAGGCTGTTCTGTTGCCCTTGTCTCACTCATTTGTGAATGGCCCTTACATAGAAAAATATCATGCCTTTTACCGCATATAAAACAAACTATTTTTAATCTACACCTCCTGACAGAATGTCCAGATTTCAGACACAGATAACAAGAGCGTGTCTTTTGGATCAAAACTTCTCTTTCCGACAATGATAAATTATGCGCCTGAAAACATTCCGCAGAACCATGATTTATACTGGAACAAAATGTACAGCCTTTTCTAGCTTCATGAGAAGAAGTAAACAGTTCAGCTGCTGTAGGTTTTAAGTGAGGTTCTCTTATCTTTAAACTCGAATTTCCTTTCTTATTATTGTGAGCCAATCGATCGAAAACATTGAAAGATTTAGCTGCTAAAGAAATTCTTTCCTCACTTTCAACTTCACCGCGCAAGAAACATAAAAGACGCTCAAGGTCAGATTCCCTTTCTTCTTAACTCGGCGTTTTCACCGGTTAAACCTTTCTGATCCTTTATGCGAAAACCTTAAGTCTCTCCCACGTTTTTAAGTACTTCATTCGGCAATGCTGATTCTACCAGTGGATATAATATCGCGGCAATATTTGCCTCTATTTATTCCTCAATATCTCCAAGGCTCTTAGATTAGATTCGAGTTCATCATACATAGTTTCCGCAAAGAGTGTGTACCTTGTTTTTGGATAACAAGTGGTTTAACAAATCACGAATATAAATCTCCGTTAGTAATTCCTTTGTTACCAAAACGCGTTTGCAATGCTTCAGTTGCGCTCTTGTAACTATCGCCAGTTGGCGGAAAGCTTTTAACTATTTCCTCTGCGGGAGAATTCTTCTCCATAGTCTGTGCCAAATAAGCAAATTTATCATTATTATCTAATGTAGGATCTTTATCAATCTTTTGGAATTGCCCCCCAAATCCTAGCCATTTCTTCATGTTGCCGTCAAAGATAGGCAATTTAATCTTCGGATAATGTAACATTTTATTCTGAACAAAGGACGGATCAATTAAAGTTACATTCGGGGTACCAGAAGTAAGATCTTTTAGTTTATTTACTTTGCATAAGTCTCCACCTATCAAAATATAATTCAGATTCATCTATTTCCTTAATAAGTAAAGTCTCATCTGTAATTTCTTTAAACGTTAATTCTCGTATTTTCATTTCAGTATCAAACAAAACCTTAGCTTTCTCGGCAATAACTTTTATTTTAATTAATTTTTCTTCTTAATTAAATTTAGTTTCTTCATTGTCAAATTCATTACACGCTTTACTGAATAATCTTCTGTATTGAGTTCGTGCTAACTTTAAGGCTTTCATGATTCAAAAATAAAAAAGTCGCTTACCTTGCAGACAATGTCCTGTCACTTGGTGCCAAATGTTGATTTTTCCGTTAAATCCTATGTGATATATCTGACTTCGAATCTAAAATTTTTTGAAGAACACAAAAACCTTGTCTAAAACTTAAAGGTTTATTCAACTGCAACTTTAAAAATGATGTAAACTTAACATCATAAACGAAAACTTAACATCTTGGGTGGAAAACATTCAAAGTGCTTTAAAGTAACAGCTATGCCGGCACGGTGAAGAACACTTTCTTTTAAAAGACAGAATCCATCTAGCCCTTTCGGCATATATCTCCATTCGCTGGATTCAGACTTCTGCTCCTACGTGTTTTGGACTTAAACGGCCGGCCGGACTGGAACTGGACTGGATCAGGACCGGAACAGGACTGGAACCGGAACAAGACGGGAACTGGAACAGGATTGGATCCGGAACAAGACGGGAACCGGAATCTCTCATCCCTTGGCTTCTCCCCCGGGCAGGTCTATTCTGGCTCGAACTAAAATGAACTGCGGTGCCACTAAGGAAAGCACCTCCTTTTATTGACGGCGGTTGCCGTTACTACAGGCGATTATGGAAATATTTAATAGGTTATTTGACAATGGCTAGAGCAGAAAGAGGGATAAATGGGGTCAAAATGAACCCCTGTCCGCCATTCTAGGAATACATGCCAATATTTAAAAAACTAACAAACCTAGAATGCTGAAATTTTTTTTAAAAAAATATTTATTTGTTTAGGAAAAATTCCAAACGATTTCTTCCAATAAAACAAAAGTAATCAACGGTCAAAAGTGTTCAGGGGTCAAAATGACTCCTCCCGCCGTTCTAGTGTAAACTGAGTCTGTTCCGACAGAATAGTACCTCTATTGCTGAATCAGTTTTTCAGAAATTATACAATCATTTGACAATCTTGTAAAACAAATCATATGACAGAAATATAATGGATCAAATTTTGCTGTTTGTACTTTTGACATTTATGGATGCATTTAACAGGGGTCCTCGACCTCTTTTGCCTTGTGCACCCTTTTCACCATAGCTAGAGCTTCATTCCCCTCTTCCTTTCCAAAAATTTAAAAATATATATGCATTTCTTTAGATCTAGTTTAATTTTTAACACGTTTTATGAATTAAACAACATAAAGTATGGAAAATATTGATACATGCTAAAACTTGAATTCAAGTAAGTTTGTTTTATATTCATAAAAGAAAACTAAGTTTTAACCACATTCTCCCTGAAAATTATGAAATTACCCCAAAGGAGGAATTCTGCCTTAAACCCTGAATTTATACTGTAAAATTTTATGTTGTACAAAAAGCACCAGTAATTATAAAATATAATTATCATAAATATAATGTAAAGTTTATAATTAATTTGGATATCTTTTGGCTTACATGATAAATTTAAAAAATATGATTAATATAAGAGTTAAGTTGCTGATAATTAGTGTGCAGGCTGGGACATACCTGGAAGACAGAAATGCTTAGTTTGGCAGGATGACTGAAATCATTCTTTCATTTGAGTATTTTGAAGAGTTTGCGTTGGCTAATGTGATTATGGCAAAGCCTCGAGGACTATCTGCCTAAGGAGAGGGATAATTTCGTGGAGGACTTTCTAAGGGTAAACTGGCTCATATACACGTTACACATGGGGAAAACCATGAAAATGCCAATGCAGCTAGCCCATGGTGCCATTCCTGTTTACGTCCATTCATTTATGGCAATAATCCAAGGGCACCCTTGAGTATACTCTAACCAAAACAACAACTTGGCGATAAACCAAGGGGTACCTTAAAATCAGGGGTGTAGCTAGAAGGGGCAAGGGGGCATCTGTCCCCGGGTGCAGAATCCAAGGGGTGCCAAACTGATGTTACGACATTTTAGAATTAAATGTTTTCCATCCTTGGCAAGCAGTAGGGGGCGCGAAATCATCAGTTGTCCCTGGGCGCTGAAAACCCTAGCTACGACTCTGCTTAAAATATAGACTATCCCTAAATTTTATGTGTTATTTTTTATTAAAAATGTTTACTACTTTTAATTAATTATTTTAGTTATTTTATAAAAGTACTTTTTCAAAAGAACATTGTTGCATAGATTAACTTTTATAACTAATATGCTTGTTTATAATTAAAATCATTTTTTTTTTTCCAATGGAAAAATTTTAGTTTCCAGTTGGAAGAATCCACAGACATTTGAAGCACAGAACAACCAGTCATGGACGTGTTGGAGCAACTGCTGCTGTGTACAGTGCTGCTATTCTTGAGTATTTAACAGCAGAAGTAAGAAATAGTCCCTTTTATAGTGCTTAGTTTTATTAGGAATTAATAGTTTGATAATATAGTCATTTACAATTCTCTTTATGATAAAACTGCAGCAAGTTTTATTGGATATTAAAAGTGCTGTAATTTAGTATGCAAGCCTTAAAAGTCATATACAGTACAAAGTCCGAAATCTGTACTCGTCGGGACTTCGTTGATTCCGGATATTAGATTATCAGTTTAAATCTAGTAAGAAGGCATGTAGAAATTGTAAAATTAAAAATATGAAATTGTGATTTATGAAATAATGAAGTATTTATGATCTAAAGGGTATCAAAATTTACAAAAAATAGCTTATTTATTTGTTTACTTTATTAAACATTTCTTTCGATGTAAGTTGTTTAAAATGCTTCGTTTTTTGTGCTTATACTTTCTCTTTAATTCTGTGGACAGACATAATCTCTTTAGTTGCATTGTTGAAGTCCTGTAACTGCTGTTTTGAGAATTCCGACTAACTTGTCAATCGAAATTTTCTCGTTTTCTGTCACTTTCTTCACTATTGGTAGCAGTATTTTTTGGATCTAGAACCATACTACAGATTTTGCCATTCATTAATTGATTGATGATTGAGAAATATTGTCATCACAATGAAAAACTTCTTTTATGTCATCTACATTTATTACCGCTTCTCCAAATTTCTTTACAAAATCCGTTAATTTGAAAATTCACCTTTGTTTTGCGATATCTGAAAACCTTTAAAATTAGCGGCTATCATCATCAAACTTAGCTGTCCTTTGCTATACGTATTTGACTATGCATCATGAGCTTTGTGACTAACGACAAGTTGTACCCTTAAATTTTATCTCGCTTCTATCGCACACTGAGACAATTAAGCCTGAATTGTATTAGTTTAGTTATTTATTATACTTATGTCTATTTCTTGCACATCAGAGTTCTGAATAAATAAATTCCCACATGTACTTAAGCCTTATTGAGGGCCGGTGCTAGATATTTTACCACCTGATGCGGTCTCTGTGGGTCCTAAATTCTGCGATTTGGCACAGTCATACAAACCCTGGCGCATTTTCTGGGTTTATATGAATTTAACTTAAATCTGTAATTACTGCCAAACGTAATGTCAACATAAAAAGTTACCATATGCCTTTATTTTTCAATTACTAACATAAAAAAAAAAAAAAAAAAAAATTGTTTAGGCATTGCTACACTCAAGTTGTCATGTTTTGATAAACATGCGCTGATGAAAGGAAAGTATAATAAAAATAATGATTTGCCAGATTAGCGTCAGATCAACGATGTATGTATGTGGAATGTTTGGGTTTGAGATGGGTGCCAAGCAGATATGCAGCAACGGAGCCAAGTTACTGATCGTACAAATATATCCTAAAATGATTGTTTCATCAATAACAAGGTATTTAATTCAGTGTCAAAGTGAAATTAAGAATCGGGACTCTCCAGATGTTTTATTATGCGTGGAGGGAGGGGAGGGAATCAAATGCGCATGCGTGAAGCCTACCAGAAAAATGTTGTTGGTAGTTTGGATTTTAGATCATTCCGGATATTGGACATCCGGATTTCGGACTTTGTACTGTAGTTCTTAAGAATCCTAAATTATGGCAAAATTTTCAAATGGCCCTTAATTTTGCTGGTCTGACATTACTGTACCATTTCTACAACTGCCATTCATAATGTGAATTTTTAGATAAATGTAGAATTCAAACTACCTGGTCAGTAATGGAGCCACTGCAAAATGTCACTTTGAACAATAAGGAACAGTCAACCTGTTCTCAAGATTCTTAGGATAAGGATGCTTGACTGATTGCTTACCTAGTCTTCAACTATAATGCTCTCTGTCTGCATTTAAAAAAAAAAGGAAAGAAATATCTTTTTGGGCTTCTAGCTTAACCTTATGCTTCAACTTCTTCTGAAGAGTGACCTTCAAGAAGATTGAAGCATGATCTTACATAGGTTGCGCTTTAGAACACTATTGGAGAATACAGAAATTATTCAAGGGTTTGTGGATAAAAGACATTAGTCAAACGAGGGTGAGATTATTCTGAAAATATTTGTTAGTATTACAGAGTTTCCAACTCTCCCGATTTTCGACCGCTCTCCCGCCAACCCGATTTACAATATATTTCTCCCGACTTTTTCTTATTCTTAATATTTCTCACGATTTTTATGGAACTTGGCTTAATACTTCGTTATATAAAACAAAAAAAAAAAAAAAAAAAAAAAAAAAAAAAAGTGATTTTGGACGTCTGAAAGCAACTGAATTTTCTCTAGATTATATCTAAAATGAAACCTTGCGAATCAGATGAGAATTTCTGCTTTGTGATTGACAGCATACGTATCCAGAAACGTCGTTCTCCAGTTGTCCAATGGGCATCGAGCTCCACTGCGTGTCATCTGGCATATATTAGCCATTGAGCACAAAGCAAGCTCAAGGCCCTTGGCCGTTCTTTGGATGTTCTTTCGCTATTTTGTTCATCTTGTCCTGAGTTGTGTGAGTACACGTGCCTTTAGGAAATAGTTTTAGAAATTATCGTCTTTTGATATGTCTGCGAGAAAGGTGAAATACTCGTGCACGTTTCAAAAATCGTACACAGTTGACTTTTCTTCCATTATTTCTTCAAGGAAATGTAATAAATTTGCGAGGTGTACCATCTGTCGTTGCGATTTTTCGATTTCGCTTGGTGGAAGGGCAGATGTTCTCAAACATGTGCGTACACAAAAACACAAGGACAACATGAGTTGTTTGAAAAAAAAAACGAAAAATTAAATTTTTCTTCGGAACAAAAAGACCAAAAAGTGATTAATGCAGAATGTCTGTTCTCTGCCTTTTTACTGGAGCACAACCTGCCACTGAATGCATCGGATCATGCTGCAGCTTTATTTAGAAAAAGTTTCCCGATAGTGAAATCGCTAAGAAATACTCAAGTGCAAGGACCAAAAACAGGTGCAATTGTTAAAGAAATGGGTTTTGAAAAATAAATCTTCAGTTATTGATTTGCATTAAAACAAGCTCCGTTCTGCCTCTCTACGGATGGAAGCAATAATACCAATTCAAAACTGTATCCAAATTGTTGTTTCTTTTTTTAATCCAGAGTCTTCAGAAATTGAGTGCAGTTTACTTTCTGTCCCCAATTTAGAAGGACATTCGACAGGCTTTAATATAGCACAGCTAATTATTAAAACTTTAAAATAAAATGCAGTCCTCTGGATAATTGCTTAGCGCTTGGTGCCGATAATGCACCAGTAATGGTAGGCTTGAAGACTGGTGTTGCAGGCATCTTAAGAAAGGCAAATTCACATTTGCAGATTATGAAGTGCACCTGTCACCTCTTAAATTTAGCAGCTGAAAAAGGGGCAGCTTCTTTACCATTAAATGTGGATGAACATATTGTTGATATTTATTATTATCTTGAAAGGAGTTCTAAAAGAAAGGAAAAATTGAAACAGTTCCAACAGCTGCATAATACTGAAATGAGAAAAATTTTGATTTTTTGTAATTTCTACATCATTCAGCAATTCAACTGGCAGTTCTCAAAATAATACTGCAAAATATAAGCGTAAAGCTGATACAAATTTCTCTCAAAATAAAATAAAAAAAAAAAAATTGCTCAACACACGAAACATTTTCCGATTACTGTAAGTTTATCTTGTGAAGAACGAATATTTATGTTTTTTTCTTCGGACCTTGACAAATCTTTTTGCTTTTTTTTTTTTACAATTCATTTTGCCATCATTCGATGTTCTGAACACAATTATACAAAGCAGAATTCCATTAATTCATGTTTTGCAATCGATGATTTATGATCCGTTTAAAGACATTTTATCAAAGTTTGTAAAACCAGTCTGTGTTTTGTCTTGTAATTCTATATATGATGTGATTTGGTGAAACAGAAAATCAGAAGGAAGATGAAGATTTGGTATTAGGAGCTGCAACTACAAAAGTAGTGGAAGAACTTTCAGAAGAAGACAAAAATAAGTTTTATCTTCATGTTAGAAGTTACTTCTGTCGAGTATGTGATTACACATTACATAAATTTCCAGTCAACGATGAAGTGATTTTGCATGCTAAAGTTGCTGATGTTTCTGCTCTAGCAAATGCATCTTTTTTTGATATAAGGTACTTTTTGAACAGATTTCCTGTGTTACTTCATTTAGTCATGAAAGATGATGATATTGATATGTTGCTACTGATATACTGCAGTCGCAATTTTGCAGTTTACAATTAGAAAACTTGGATGAAGTTATATAAATCAGCTAGGATTGACACCCAGTGGAGGTTAATTGGAAAATTGAAAGGTGCTGATGGAATTTTAAAATATAGTGAACTCTCTAGAATTATGTTGGCCATCTTGACACTTCCCCATAGTAATGCAGAGTGTGAGAGGATTTTCAGTGTTGTTGCGAAAACGAGGACTAAATTTAGATCTAATATTAGTGATGACACATTAGAAAAACTTTTATTAGCGAAAGCAGGCCTACGTGGCAATTGCTATGAACAAAATTATGAAGTTTCTTTCTTACGAGAGCAAAATCTGCCGCTTTCCATAACTTTTGTATGAAAACTGATTAAAGTGCCTTTTTTTTTTTTTTTTTTTAACGATGAAAGTAATAAAAATGTTTTTATGTCTAAGGTATTTTTGTTTTGCTTGCATTTAGACTTAATAACTATTTAAAGTTAATTCATTATTAAAAACTATATTTTTATCATTTAAAAAGTCTTTTTAACATTGTGAAAAATCTCCTGATTTTTGAGTGTCATAGGTTGGCAAGTATGGTATTAGAACAGTTTAAATTGATGTAGGGCCACATATGTACGTGGAAGGTTCTTTTGACTCCAGTTCCGGTGTTACTAAGAGTAGTGGTATTAGAACAGTTTAAATTGATGTAGGGCCACATATGTACGTGGAAGGTTCTTCTGACTCCAGTTCCGGCGTTACTAAGAGTAGTGGAGCACTAGAGCATCCATTTGGAGAGGAAATGATTAGTCGTCC